TCTGAATTCTTCATTCTTCTCTTTGGCCTCTTTGCCCAGACTAACAACTTCTACTAGTGAAATTTCAGAAGACTTTGCTGCCCTGATCAGTAGGGAGTTTCGCTGCTAACCCCAAGGCCGTGCTTTGATGGACAATCTTCCTATGATGTATTTATAGCCTCAGAAACCCAATTGAGGATCCGTTTTAAGTTGAAACCACGTTGATGACAATGAAAGAGTATTAAGGTGGTGGTGTTATTGTTATGTGACATCAAATCGCCTGCCATTCACAGCCCTGAATCTTTTTATATCCTGAGCTAACCTTATGTTTCTCCAACACACCCACCTCCATTACCCCAGTCACTGAGTCAATCCATCTCATCCAGGGTCTTTCTCTCTTGGGCTGTCCCTCCCAAGCATGAGATCCCTCTCCAAGGACAGGTCCTGCCTTTTAGCCTGCCAAAAGTATGTCAGATGGAACTTCAGAATCCTTGTCTCCAAGGAGCAGCATGGTTTCACCCTCCCCAGGGCTAATCTGTTTGTTCTCTTAGTTGTTCAGTACTATTTTCTAGCACCACAGCTCAAAGGCACTAATTTTCCTTCAGTCATCTCTAGTCATTATGCAGCTTCCTGATGCATAGCACTTAACTGCGAAGACCATGGCCTAGATCAGGCGCACCTTAGTCTCCAGACTGACATTGTTGCTCTTGGGTACTCTGAAGATGTCCTTGACAGCAGACTTTTTCCACATTCGTCTTTAGATTTCCTGGCTGCTAGTACGAAGAGTGTTGATTGTGGAGCCAAGTAAACTAAAGCTGTTAACAATCTCAATCTCTTCACCATCTATCATGATGCTGCCAATCAGACCAGAAGGAGAAGAGTAATAGGGTAGTATTAATAAATTCAGGATTATTAAAATACATGGTATGGTTGTAAAACTGACATTAGTTGCCTCCAGCCTGCAAAACTGGTTGCTTTGCCCTAGAAATTCTTTTTCTTTCCTTAGTGATGTAAAGTACTTGAAGCTGTTTACCAGGAAAGGAAATGCATCTCTCCTGGATGAGTACTTACCTATTTGAAGCTATATTTCTCAGTTACATCAATTTTTTTTGGATTAACATTTACCTCTTTGAAGAAGTTTCTCTCAGTTATATGTGATTCTTTTTTGGATGACATTTATCTCTTTGAATATGTTTCTCAGTCATATGTAAACTCCATGTTTACTAGTAATTGTAACATCAAACCCAAGTATCACTCTTAGACAGTTTTTGTGGGTTTTGGGGTGGGGTTTTTTTGAGAAGTTTGGTTTGTGGTTTGTTGTTTGGTTTTGGGGGTTTTTTTTAGGGAGAGGCAGTGTTTTAGAGGATTCTGCTCTCCCAGATCTGCAGTAAAATGTTTTGTGCACTGCAATCCATTTGTCTTACTGGCAGTTGACTGTGGGGGGAAAACCCTTGTGTTCAGTAACAAGAGCATGAAAGAAAGAGAATAATTCCAGTTCATATCCCTGTTTGGGCAGAAATAGCATTCTGCATATCCACCTCTGCATTCCGGTTTTCAAACAGTCATTTTCCAGTGCACCTCAAATTTACAAAAATTACTGTTTAGGTGAGAGGTTAAGAAATGAACATTTTTTTTTTCCTGTGTGACTCATTCTTTTTTTTTATTTATTTATTTTTACAGAGGTTTTGGATTTCCATTCACTCATTGCCGCAATTTTCTCCCTGCCCATCCTTCCCCACCAGCTCGCTTCCCCCTCCGAAGAGAGAGAAAAAAAATTCCTTCATTAGTATACAATTCCCACGTCCCTTCCCCCCACCCCGAGTACACTTCTCTATGCAACCTTAATTCTGGATTCCTGTGCTAACCATAATACTCAATCATATATCACTTCTAATCTGTTCTTTCCCTCATCTGTTTCAATACAATATACATAATTTATCCAGTTTTTTCTGTCATACCCCCACCCTGATGTCAGACCCATTCTACAACAGTGGCACCATGCAGTATTTGTCCCTTTGTGACTGAGATATTTCACTCAGCATAATGTCCTCCAGGGTCACCCACTTTGAATAATATTGCATGAGTTCCTTGTTTTTCAATGCTGCGTAGTATTCCATTATGTGGATATACCACAGCTTCTCTATTCATTCGTTTGTTGATGGGCCCTTAGGCTGCTTCCAACTCTTTGCTATTGTCAACAAAGCTGCAATAAACATGGGTGTGCATATATCTGCTTGGATGGCAGGCATGGTCTCTGATGGTTTTCTTGGTGATGATTTAAAAACTTTAATGGATATAGTGTGTATATGCACACCTTGTCATTTTTGTTATTATTTAACCATAAACTTAAAATGCTTTCGGGAACTTTACCAAGCGATCAACTAAATGAGTACTGCTCTCTATATAGGTTTTTTTTCAAATATTGTCTATGATTTAAAAACTTTTGCTTTAACAGATCTTTGGTTATTAATTAAAATGTTAGTTCATTATGGGACATTACTGTGTTCACATATATTGGTGATGTTATTTCCGGCACCAAAAAGTATACTTCTAATTCCAGTGTTATATCGCCTCCTACACAGGGGTGTCCATGATGACTATGTAATCTGCATTGTTGTTTTTATGTGCCATTGAGTAGCGACTGAATCATAAAGTAATCTTTATTATTTTCTAAATTTAAATAATGAAGACTACTGGAAAGTAGAATGTTGTTCTGATTAAAAGAAGTGGAAGGAGGCAGTGTCGTAGACAGGGAAAAGTTGTTTCTTTACAATCTTAATGGAGACCTCAGGTGACTATAAGGGTAGTTTTCAATCTATAATGATGTTGCACAGTCATTCCCAGTTAGAGTACCAGGCCTTTATATTCTCATATGGATGATTTTTGGTTATGGGCTTCTCTCAAAATAGTTCATGTTCATGGATAAGGAAGCCATCTTCAGCAGAGACAATCCAATTACCAGAGGAGTGGCAGTTCCTAAAATGGGCTCTGGATGGCCAAAGGTGATTTTGGATGTTGATTGTGAATAAAAGTAAAATTAAATCCTTGACTACCTCAGTCTTTTCTTGGCTTATAATGAGTTACGAAGATTTTTATTAAGGCATAATCCATAATGAGAACAATAGTCTTTAAATTTCATCACTATGTACTGTAAGACATCTTCATTTTCACTGAGAAAAATTGTATCATCCACATCACACATTTTTAAATGAATCTCCCCCCAAACCTAATGCTCATTTATTTTTCATATAGTCCACCTTCCCGGATGATTCGCTCATGTACAAATAGAATATAGGTATAGTGAAAGAATCCAACTCCAAAGCACACTTTTCCTAAATTTAAATGAAGCAGTATTCCCTCATTTTGTTCAAAATAGTATTTCTTGGTCTGTGTACAGCTTCTGCATGTGCACAATTAAATGTTCTGGAATTCCCATCCTTCACAATATTTTTAGTAATCCGTGATACACCTGAATGCCTTAGTATGTTATTATTGTTATGTGCTGTCAAGTCACTTGAGCCAATTTCATACAGAAGCAATAACCCAGAAATCAACTCATCTACCTAAAGTCAACTGATATCTGAAAAAGAAGCAAAACCCTTTAAATGGGGAAACAACAGCCTTATTAGCAACCATACGGAAGTCATGTGTTTCCTCAAGAAGAGGAAATAGAAATTCCGTTTGACCCAGCTATTCCACTGCTGGGATCACGGAAATCAGAGGCAAGGCATGAATGAATATATGTACCACCTCTTTAACAAATGCTGGCAAAACTGTACATCTGTCAGACATCAGAAATCTGGCACAGGATCCACATCTCCTACCATACACAAAAAAGCAAGTCAAAGGGAATACAAGATCTAGGAATAAAAAAAAAAAAAAGGAAATATCATCACAGAACAAAGTAGGAACAAATTTAGAAGCCCTAGTCTATGGCATTAATAGGCCTGAGAACATAAAATGCACAAAAGGGAGAGAATTAAATTGTTGAATGAGACCTTCTAAAAGTCAAATCTGTATATGGTCAGTTTTGTCATATCAACTTGTTTAAATTGAGCAGATTTAGCAACAGAAGAAAATGGGAATGTCTCTACTACCAACAAAGAAGAGTCAGAGAATGCAGTCCTTTGTGAACAGTAATTCCTGCACATGACAGAGTAGGTCCAAGATGAGAACAGCAGCAGCAATAAAGAATCAAGAGACTGATATGAGGTGGAGTTGACCTGGGAATGTTCCCCCATGAAGACAGAGCCAGGGGCTTATGCCCAAGCTTGCTGCAGGACTTGGGCATGGGTGAAGTAGAAAGACAACATAATTGTCAGGACTAAGCAGAGAGCTTTTAAACATTTATCTAAAGCCTTGAGATTAAAGGCCAAAGGGCCTTTGAGTATTTTTGATAGCCTGTCATGACTAAGGATACCTGAAATGTAACCTGTTCACTTCTTTAATAAATCCCACAATTAAGACTATGACTGTGAGTTCTGAGTGGCCATTGCAACAGATGAGTGGATCCTCCTGGGAACCTTGGGAAGGGTAGTTGGCATTGGTAGAAGTAGGCTCTCTAGTGACTTAGTGGTAAGGAGTTGAGCTGCCATCCCAAAAGGACGAGATTCTAATAACTAGCTGTTCTTTGGGAGAAAGATGGACAGTCTCTTCTTTACAGTTTACTACAATTTACTGCCCCAAGTCAGCTACGAGACAGTTCTGACTCGAGGATATATTTAACAACAGGCTTAGGAGCATATGGGTATGTCCAACCTCCTGGAAAGGGGTTTTATGCTACAGGTGTTTCTGATAGGGACTGTTCCCTCTTGAGAAGGTAGAGTGCAGACTCAGCTGCCCCAGGCCACTTGCATTGTTTTGCAAAATGTCATAACACTTTATGTGCTTGTGTTTATCTTTTGAGGATTCTTACTGTCATATTAAAGCAAATTGCTACTTAAGTATGTTACAGTTAAAATTAAAAGAAATGCAATCCTTTAGTAATACAATCCTTACTATTTAAAATTTCTTTATTCTAGGATGGAAGACTCACATTTCAACCAGGAAATCAGGTAGTGAAACTTCCTTTTGTCAACACCATGAAAGCTCATGGCACTACCTTTCTCAATGCCTACACAAACTCTCCAGTTTGCTGTCCTTCACGAGCAGGTATGAACATAGTTAGTACTGGTCAAATAAAGTGACAACACATTGAAAATAAATTCACAGTTTAAAAGTTCTACCTAAATATAAGTCACATTTGGTACCTAGTAAATTTGGTCATTTAAAAAAAAATATGTGTGATAAATGCTTTCAGGTATGTCTTGGAATAAGAATTTCTAATATAGTTTTCAAAAGCAAGAATTTTATTACTTAAAATGGCATCTAGTTAATATATTACAGGTTCATTTCTTTATAGTTGGCAACTAAGAATCTTTTGATAATTTAAAAATGAGGAAATACTCGAATTTCCTAAAAGAATTCTATTTCCAAAGAAATGTTTCTATAAAGTCATAGGGAAATGGGAGAACTTATGTGTGGATAATAATGAATCTCTAACATATTAAGAAGTTCGTCTCTAACTTAAATATCTTCTTTTATTAAGTTACCATGATAATTGCCTTTTATTATGTTCATCTTTATAAACCTGATCTTTACTTGAACTTGGGAGTTGAAAGCAATACATATCAGATAATTCTGCATGTTGTGACACTCCTTATAGTACATACAAAATAAGAATGTTAAAATTGCCTCAGTGTGTTCATTGTGACTGCTTAACTAATATAGTGATATTAGCTTTATCTGAAATTTTCCATGTGTTTTACGATTTTAATCTTTGTTTTTTGTTGTTAAGTGCTGTCAAATCACTTGCAACTCATATCGACCCCATGACAATAGCTCTGGACAATTGCTCCATCCTGTGCCAACCTCATCATCTCCAACACACCCACCCCCATTCCCACAGTAACTGAGTCAATCCATCGCATCCAATTCTTCCTCTCTTGCACTGCCCATCCACACACTGAAGCATAATGCCCCTCTCCAAGGATTGGTCCCTCCTTGCAACACACCCATAGTATGTAAGATGACACTTCAAAATCCTTGCCTCCAAGAGAAACTTGGTTTCACCCTCTCCAGGGCAAACTTGTTTATTCTCCTAGCAGTCCACAGAATATTCAGTTCTCTTCTCCAGCACCACAGCTCAAACACATCAATTCTCTTTTTCTTATCCCTAGTCATTGTCTAGCTTTCTGATGCACACCAAGTAATTACAAAGACCATGGTCTGGATCAGGTTCACCTTAGTCTCCAGACTGATAACCTTGCCCTTCACTGTGGAGAGATTTCTGACCACAGATTTTCCCAATGAAATGCATCTTTTGATTTCCTGGCTGCTAGTACCAAGAGTGTTGAGTGTGGAGCCAAGCAAACTAAATCTGCTAACAATCTGAATCTCTTCACCATCTATCATGATACTTCCAATTAGCTCAGCGGTGAGAATCTTTGTTTTCTTGATGTTGAGCTTCAATCCCTATTGAATGTGACAGTGCTTGACCTTCTGAAGTAAATGCCTCAGGTCCTCCTCAGTTTCCGTGAGCAAGGTGTGTCATCTGCATTAACACAGGTTGTTGATGAGTCTTTCTCCAATCCTGATGCCACATTCCTCCTCATCCAGCCCAGCCTCCCAGATGATCTGTTGCACATATAGATTGGAAAGGTATGAAGATAGAATGCATCCCTGGGTAAGCCTTTCCTTATTTTGAACCATGTAGTGTTTCCTTATTCTGGTCTGATTCCTTATTCTGATGACTTCCTCCTGCTCCAAGTATAGGTTTCTCATTAGCACAATCAAGTGTTCTGGGACTCCCACTCTTCTCACAGTCAGCCACAGTTTGTTTCAATCCACACAGTCAAACGCCTTTGCATAATCAATTAAACAAAGATAGACATTCCTCTGGTATTCTCTGTTTTTTAACCAAGTTTCATCTAACATGAGCTAAATATCCTTAAAATCACTCAGACTGCACTTCTGGCAATTCTCTGTTGATTTGCTATTCTAGACGTTTTTGGGTAATTTTCAGCAGGATCTTGCTTACATGTGATAGTAATGTTATTGTTCGATAGTGATTGGTCATCCACTTCCAAATTTGCAGGCCTTTAAAAACTCTGTCGATTACAAGTGGGGTGGGGGAAACCACTGGAGAAGCTCAATATCAGCTGTGAAAACTAGGTCAGGTGCTGATTGTGGAACAGACCACCAACTACTCAGATACAAGTTCAAACTAAAGCTAAAGCCAAAATTTGACTTTGAGTCTATCCCACCTGAATTTCAAAACCATATCAGGAACAGGTTTGAGGCTTTATACTTTAATCTCCTTTCATTCTGTCTGAATTCACTCCTGTTAAAATCCAGTATTTTTCATTTTTATTATAGCAACTTAACAAACATCGTTTTAATGACAAGATGTTGGTTCGGTTACTGCCTTTGAGTTAATTCTTATTCATATCAACCCTGCGGGTCAGAGACCTGTTCCATGGGGTTTCGAAGGCTGTAATCTTTATAGAAGCGAACTACTACATCTTTTTCTCTCAGAGCAGTTGGTCAGTTCAAACTCTTGCACATTTGGTTAGCAGCCGTGTGTGTGTGTGTGTGTGTGTGTGTGTGTGTGTGTGTGTGTGTGTGTGTGTGTAATTGCCCATCTTTCTCCCGTAGAGCACTGGCACTGGTGGATTCAAACTACATGACTTTGGGATGGCTGTGCAGCTCCTTACCAGTAGCCCACCAGAGGTCCCTCTTACACCATAAACAGCATCCAACAATTGAGTTCTGTATTTAAGTTACTGAGATGATACTCTCTGTAATTTGAGTCACAAGTGTTTTCCCTAAGTGTTAAGCACTAATGGGCCTAATAGATAAAAAGGTATGCTGCCAGTTCAAAAGCTGGTGATTCAAATTCACCAGTGGCTATGAGGGAGAAAGATGGATACTCTCCTCCTATGTGTGTTGTTGTGTTTTGGTTGTTATTCGTTGGTGTTGACTGCCCCGAGTCGAGCACAACTCATAGTGCCCCTATGAACAAAAGGCTTGAAGCTCCTCTACAACTATTGGCATCTATCAAAGTTCATAGAGTTTCCAGAGACAAGTTTCTTAGGAAGTGGATACCACTCCTGCTTTATTGCCCCTAAAAACCTACTAGAGGGTCATCTGTGAGTTCTATTCAGACTCAAGGACAGTAAGAAAAAGAAATAATTATTTCTACATAATTGAACTATGTTTTCTTTGTTGCTGTATACTGACAAGCGGGACTGACTTTCCATACAGTCTTCAGAGGCAGTAATCACTTGGGAGGAGAGTGCCCATCTTTCTCCCGTGGAGCACCTGGTGGAAAAGGAAACCTAAGCTATGTTGTTATAACTGATATTTTAAGTACTAAGAGCCAGTTGTATTCAAAACCATTTTGCTTGCTTTATTTGATGTATCTCAGCCAGTAGAGTGAGTTTAATGGGCTTAAATAAGTACATTGGAGATAGTGATGATGGCACAATATTGGGCCAGGTTTTGATCTGTTATGTCACTATAAGAGAGACTCAGGGGCACATCACAGCAACAACAGTGGCTTTAAAGACCCCATTCTCACATTCTGGTAGCACTAGACCACACGTGGTATACAGGCAGGAGAAGCAGAGGACATGTCTCTGGGCTTAGACTTTTGAGTCTGGTTTGGAAGGCAGGCATTGTTAACAGAGCTGCCTGGCAGGGCTGTTGCTGCTGCTCCCCTGTGTAGAACACCGAGCCGTGTTCAGCTCCCTCAGCTCACTCTTTACTCTTCACTTGCTTTCTCTCACTCCACTCTGCTCCTGTTCCCACCCTTAGCTCCACTCATTTCTTTGGCTCTACCCGTACCTCCAGCAGCAGCAATAGTGGTACCATTGCTGAAGAGAACAAGAAGTGGGCTCCCATAAAGATTTATTATGATGGTCACAGGTCAAAATCGCATAGGGTCCTATTTTACAGAATATAGCATTAAACAACAAACACTTCAATATACCTTACACTCACTGATTTATTGCCATAGAGTTAGAACTGACTAATAGCAGATCCTCCAGGTTTTCAAGAAACTGTAAATCACACAGAAGGAGAATGCCGACTTTGTCCCTCAGAACAGCTGGTGGGTTTGAAGCAGCAGATAGGCATGGCCTTTGTTTGTATTAGCAGCACAACTCTCTGCCTTCTTGTTGTTGTTGTTGTTATATGCTGTCGAGTCACCTGCAACCCTATGTACAGCAGCTCTGAAGCCTGCCCTGTCCTGAGCCAGCCTCACTAATTCCGACACACCAACCCCGATTGTCCCATTTACTGTATCAATCCATCTCAACCAAGGTCTTCCTCTCCAGTGCTATGCCTCTACACTTTCAAGCATGATGTCCTTCTCCAAGGACCGGTCCATCCTGACCATGTGCCAAAGTATATGAGATGGAACTTCAAAATCCTATCCTCTAAGGAGAAACTATGTTTCACCCTCTCTAAGACAGAACTGTTTATTTTCTTGGCAGTCCATGGTATGTTCAAGAATCTTCTCCAGAACCACAATTTGAAGGCATCGATTCTTTTCTTCTTTCATCCATTTCATTTGTTAACAACCTCAACCTCCTCTCCATCTATTATGGTGCTGCCACTTGGCCCAAGGTGAGGATCTTTGTTTTCTTGATGTTGAGCTTCAATCCATATTGCAGACTACAGTCCTTGAGCTTCTGCAGCAAGCACCTCAGGTCCTCCTCTGTTTCAGCAAGCAGAGTTCTGTCATTGGCATAACATATGTTGTTGATGAGTCTTCTCCCAAGCCTGATGCCACATTCCTCCTCCTAAAGCCCTGCTTCCCAAATGATCTGTTCTGCATGAAGATTGAAATGATATGGAGACAGAATGCATCTCTGATGCACTCCTTTCCCGATTTTGAACCGTGCGATGTTTCCTTGCTTTGTTCTGAGGACTGCTTCCTGGTCCAAGTGTAGGTTTCACCTGAGCACAATCAGTTATTCTGGGATTCCCATTTTCCTCAAGAGTAGCCACATCTTGTTGTGACCACACAGTTAAATGCCTTTGCATAGTCAATAAAACACAGATAGATATTCATCTGGTACTCTCTGCTTTCTGCCAAGGTCCATCTGACATTGCCAGTAATGTCTCTAGTGCCATGGCCTCTTCTAAACCCAGCTTGTATTTCTGGTAGTTCTTTGTCAATGTACTGTACCAGTCATTTCTGGATAATCTTCAGCAAGATTTTGTTAATGTGTGGTAATAGTGATATTGGTTGATAATTTCCACACTCTGTCGGGTTACCTTTTTTTGGAATGGAAATAAATATGGATCTTTTCCAGTCAGTTGTCTAGGGAGTTGTCCTCCAGATTTCTTGTCACAACCTGGTAAGCACATCCAGGGCAGCATCTGTTTGTTGAAATATGGCAATTGGTATTCCATCAATTTATTTCTTTTTTGCCAAGTTTTTAGAGTAGCCTGAACTTTCTCCTTCATCACCATTGCCTCTTGATAATACATTGTTTCTTGAAATTCTTCTGTGTCAGCCAGTTCTTTGTGGTACAGTGACTCCATATACTCCTTCCATCTTCTTTTAATGCTTCCTGAATCATCCAGTAGTCTGCCCATAGCATCCTTAAGCATTGCAACTCACAGCTTGAATTTGTTTTTCAGTCCCTTCAGATTAAGAAATGCCAAATGAGTTTGGCCCTTTTGATTTTCCAACTCCAGCTCCTTGCACATTTCATTATAATACTTTGCTTTGTCTTCCTGAGCTACCCTTTGAAATCTTCTATTCAGCACCTTGACATCTTGATTTCTTCTCTTTGCTCCAAGCAACTTAAATCCTGAAGGTGAATTGACTCATCTGTAAAATAACCGCTTGTAGGGTCTATTCCCCTAATTAAATGAAATGACAGTCAGAATTATTGCTTAACCCATCTAATGCTGCTATGTCTTATTTTAGAGCAGGAGCCCTAAATTTGTAGTAGACTGCTTTCTCTTAATAATTGTCTGAATAGTTAAATTATTAAGCTTTACTTTGACCTGTGTTTCATATTATTTTTCAGCACTATGGAGTGGCCTCTTCATTCATTTGACAGAATCTTGGAATAATTTTAAGGGCCTAGATCCAAATTATATAACATGGATGGATGTCATGGAGAAGCATGGCTACAGAACACAAAAATTTGGAAAATTGGATTATACTTCAGGACATCATTCTGTTAGGTAAGAAAAAAAAGGAAGGTAATAATAATAATAGTCTGGCTTCTGCAACAGTATGTGCAGGATATACTGTTTTGACTTTTACTCTTTTCTACCTCTACAAGGTGAAAGTAAATCTCTTAATCTCTTAATTATATTAAATCTAGTTGAAACTATATCTAATCTTCTTAAAATTACCCAGATACTGGTCATTTTGTTTTTATTAAACATTAAAGATCTAGAAATACTATCTATAAAGGTACTTTATGATTTATTTTAACTGATTTTTAATTTCATAATGCTACTTTATTACTTATTTCATAATCTGCTTTAAAACCCATAATCCTTTTGCTACTTGCCCTTGATAATTCTGGTTATTGTTCTTTTTTTTTAATCTCCCATTTTACCAACTTCTCAGAAACCAAACACTAAGTATAGTGGCTAAGAGTAGAAGTCTAGAATCAGGTATTTCTACCACTAACAACTTTGTCTAATCAAGGTTAGTAGCTATTGTTAACCTTGTCTTCTTGGGCACGTTATCTAAAATAATTAGTTGAAAGTTCATTTCATTGTTGTGATCATTAGAATAATATATGCAAAAATGTACTAATGTATCAGGCTTCCAAACTAGTTCATGGCCTGCATCTGGAAATTTGTATCTTAGGGTTTATTCTAACATTTCCCAGCTGGTAAGGATGTGATTCTAACATTTCCTAACTGGTAGGGGTGGCCAGCTCACTGTTCCTAGACTGTGCAGTGTTTGTACTGAACATTTGTTTCCTCCTGGGAGTCTGGAATTTTGCAGCTTGCTAGACAGAGGACAAATCGGAAAATGAACAAATTGGTCTTAAAAGAAGTACAGCCAGAACGTGTCTTAGATGTGATGATGATGGTGAAACGTTGTCTCCTGTTCTTTGTTGTCCCTAGAGAAGGAGTTCATGCTCAGTAAACAGAGGGTTAGAGAAAAATAGGAGTCCCCTCGATGAGACGGGCCGACACAATGGCTGTAACAGTGGGCTCAAACGGAGAATGGCACAGGACCTGGCAGTGCTTCATTCTGCTGTGTGTGGGGTCACTGTGAGTAGGAACTGACTCAAACCCAACAAAAGAGGCAGAGAGTACATACATAACCAGCACACAATAAAAACCTGGGGTCCTGTGTTTTCTAATGAGCTGCCTTGGGAGACAATACTTCACAATGCTGAAGGAATTAAAATCATGCTTCTGTAAAGATTCAGAGCTTTGAAAAATGTCTTGGGCAATTCTACTGTGTCCATTCTGAAGAATAAAAAGAATAAAACCTCATCACTGGTGAGCCAGTTTCTCATAACTTGGGAGGTAACTCCCCATCTTTCTCCCTGGAAGCGGATAGATTCAAACCACCAAAAAGGCGCAACCATTGGGTTAGCAGCACAGATCCCTACATCATGCTGTTGTGGCTGCTGGTACCATTGAATGAGCATAACTCATAGCAGCTCTTTGAACAACAGACCTGAACCCTGTCCTGTGCCATCTTTATCATATCTGACACACTTGAACCTGTTGCTGCAGTCACTGTGTCAGTCCATCTCATTAGGGGTCATTCTCTCTTTCTCTGACTTTCAACCTTTCCATGCATAATACACTTTTCCAAGGAGTAGTCTCTTCTAGCAATATATTCAAACTATGAGAGATGAAGCTTTGCTACTTTACCTCCAGGGAACACTCTGGCTGCACTTTCTTCAAGACAAATAGCTCTTTGGCTGCCCTTTCTCTAAGACATATCTCTTTGTTCTTTTGTCAGTCCATGGGATATTCAGTACCCTTCAACACCACGGCTCAAAGGCATCAGTTCTTCTGTCATCTTTATTTGTTGTCAAGCTCTCAGATATGGATAGCAAGTGATTGAAAAGACCATGGCTTGAATCAGGTGTGCCTTAGTCTTCAAACTGACGTCATTGTTTTTTTTGTATTTTGGAGAAGTCTCTGATGGTGGGCTTGTCCAATACAATGTGTCTCCTGATCTCCTAATTGCTGGTACCAAGGTTGTGAATCAAAGTGAGATAAAATCACTGACAGCTTCAGTCCTTTCTCTGTCTGTGGTGGTGTTGCTTTTTGGCCTAGTGGTGAGGACCTTTGTACTCACTAGATAGGGTTGATAGAAAACAGCATTGGATTAACTCTAGTGGGTCAAGTTTTGGTTTGGTTTATGTGACTCTATTAGAAAAGGACTCGGACAATTGCACTCAAGATTTTGCCCCAAGTGCCTTTTCTTTTTGCTGATTTTTCTTTATATATTTTCTTTGTGATCAGTTATAACCTTTGGTACAACTGTTGTATGTGCTGAGTCCTTCTAGTGAGTGAAGAGATGATCATCTTAGGAACCCTTGACACAAACCCTAAGACTTTAAATTAGTACCTCTTAACTAGCAGATGCTAATTGAGGGTCCGTGGTAATAGTAGTAATGAAGAGTAGGATGCAGTGGTGATGATAGGTAAGGACATGAAAAAATATTCATAAAAACAGTAAGTTTTAATAAGCTGTACTAAGTAAGTAGTATCAGGAAGCACTGTAGGCAGTTGCACTACTAAACCAAGGGCTGTGGCTCTCTCACAGTTCAATACTCCATCTGAAATATAGTCTCAAATACCCAATGGAGGATCAGCTATGAGTCAGTGCTGACTATATGGTAATAACTCTGAGTTTTTAAAAATGATCCACAATACCCCAAGCATTAATCTTGTTCTACTAGTTATAAGGAGCTCTGGTGGCCTACAGGTAAGAAGCTATGCTGCAATCTCAAAGGGGCTCAGTTCAAATTCACCAGCTGCTCCAATAGAAAAGGACGGACAGTTTCTTCCCGTATGATTAACTGCCTCCGAAAACCTGCTGAAGGATCAGTTACGGGTTAGTTCTGACTCGATGGCACTCAACACCAACAACTGGTTAATAATATTTTTATTTCTCCTTTTTTTGGACTTCCAAAATCTAAAAGAAAGCAACCCCATCTCAGTCTTCTAATCAGATACCAAATGTTGTCAGTCCTACTTTTAAAATATTTTGCTATTTTCTTTTCTTTTCTCATTATTCTCACTATACTAATATCATCTCTTGCATAAACTTCTGAAATTGCTTTCTAACTGGACTGTTTTTCTAACTTAATCTGATCCATTTTTCTCTAGGCAGCCAGAATGATCTTTTAAAAATATACAGACTACTCAACTCCCTTGCTTAAAATACTGCAGGATTTTTATTTGCAGGTAGGTTAAAATTATAAATCTATAGCATGTTTTATACTATTCTGGAGGGTCTAATCCTTACGTTCAGTATCATTTAGTACCACCGTCCCCCTCCCTCAGTGTGTACCAGCTATTCTGGTCTTCTTATTTCCTGAATAAGTTTTTATTGGATAGTTATCCAATAACTAATGAGTCTCACTGTGAAAAAAAAAAGGCTTTCCCACACTATGCCTCACTAATGTAGCAGAAAGAAAAGGAGAAGATAGATAGTTACATATAGGGCAAGGAGCATAGGCCTTGAGGTAGACAGAACAGGGCTAGACACCCAGGGCCCCTACTTAATTAACATCCTTATATTCTTAGACATGTTGTATGATTCCCCTAAGGGCCAATGTTTTTATCTGTAAACTGAAATTAGTAATATCTATCAACTAATACTGTTGTTATTGTTGTTGTTGTTATGTGCCTTCGAGTCACCTATTACTTACAGCAACCCAATGTACAATAGCTCTGAACCCTGCCCTGTCGTGAACCAGTCTCACTAATTCCAGTACACCTACCCTCATTGCCCTAGTCACTGTATCAATCCATCTCATCCGGGGTTTTCCTCTCCTATGCTGTCCCTCCACCCTTCTGAGCATGATGGCCTTCTCCAAGGATCAGTGTCTCCTGGCTACATGCCCAAAGCATGTGAGACAGAGCTTCAAAATCCTAGCCTCCAAGAAGAAACTCACCCTCTCTAAAACAGACCTATTTGTTATCTTGGCAGTCCATGACCTTCTCCAGCACCACAACTCAAAGGTATTAATTCTTCTTCTATCATCCTTAGTCATTGTCCAGCTCCTGATGCATAGCAAGTAATTGTGAAGTCTATGGCTTATATGAGGCACACGTTAGTATCTAGACTGACATCATTGCTTCTCAGTACTCTGGAAAGGTCCCTGACAGCAGATTTACCTAATGCAGTTTGTTTTTTATTTCCTGGCTGCTGGTGCCAACCATGTTGGTTGTGGAGCTGAGCAAGCTGTAATTGCTAATAACTTCAATCTGTTTTCCATCCGTTATGGTGCTGCCATTTGGTCCAGTGGTGAGAGTCTTTGTCTTTTTGAAGTTGAACTTCAACCTATATTGAAGACTATAATCCTTGAACTTCTGCAGCAGGTACTTCGGGTTCTCCTCAGTTTCAGCAAGCAAGGTTGTGTCCATCTGCATAAGTTAGGTTGTTGATTAGTTTTCCTCAAAGCCTAATCCACATTCTTCCTCATAAAGCTCAGTCTCCTGAATAATCTGTTCTGCATATAGATTGAAAAGGAATGGAAGCAGTATTTAATATTAGACATTAGTACTACCTAGTTGAGTAATAGTACTCAACTTGGAGGCACCTACCACCACCACCACTTTGGGTTTGGGGAGCTCTCATGGCCCAGTGGCTAAGGAATTACTCTGCCAAGCTAAAGACAAGTGGTTCAGATCCACCACTTGCTCCATGGGAGAAAGATGGGCAGCCTCCTTCTAGGCAATTTGCAGCCTATGAAAACCCATACAGCTTAGTAACTTTCATATTTTTCTGGGCAAATTTAAGTAGGACTCACTCTTGGTAGAGGAAATACATGGAGAAGAAATTCCTCTTAATACCTAAGTACATACATAAGAGCATTCTTACTGTTGATAGACTACTTTTCAAAATCAAAATCTATGATTTTACTGAAATTGTGTAGAAATCTGCTTATATTTTCAGCTTTATAGTTTTGTTTTTGTTAATCACTGTAATACTTAGATGTTTCATTTAGGTGTCAAGTGATGCT